GTCCCGAAAATCAGAGTTGATGTCGCCAATATCCGTAATAGATAAAGTATTACCATCAGCTATTTGAATTTTCTGATTACCATGATAAGAGTGTAAATTGTTCAAATAGTCTGAAGAACCTGTCATGTGATTGCATGCACCCGAATCAAGAAACCATGGGCGAGAAACATTAGAAGACTTACCTTGAATTCCCAAGGCCGAGAGAGCGGAAAGTACCATTTGTTGAATCAATTCAGGTTGTATAGCACTATCGTTTGATGCCCCATTAGTGGAAGGACCAACCGCATGATTTGCATGGAATGCCTGTACTGAACGTTGTGTTGGTCGTGGAGGACGTGTGGGACACTCAGAGATAATATGACCCTGTTGCTTGTAGTAATTACAAAACTTCTTATTGCAACTACGAGCAATATGACCAAATTGTTTGCAAGAGAAGCACTGAACCTGTTTCATATCACGATTTTTACCTTTACTTTGAGCAGCATATGCAACCATCACGGGCTCAGAAATGGTAACATCATGAGACATGGCTCCTTGAGTAATAAGACGTTGTTCCTCCCTTAGGAGTTCTCCAACACATGTATCTAAAGAAGGAACAGGATTCCTATTCAGCAAGGCACCTCTGACAACCTCAAATTCTGGGCGTAATTTCATGAGAAATTGATCTCGACCACTTGTGTTGTAAACCTCTTGAACAACCGCGAGAGAGGTCTTGGGAACATTAGCATGTATAATAGCAGAGTGTTCTGCCCAGAGATTTAAAAAACCAGAATAGTATTCTTGAATAGACAAATCACCTTGTTTGTAGTTGGCTATTTCTAACTCCAACTGAAAACGTTTTGCCGAATTGCCCTGGTTGTAAATGCGCTTTAGATAATTCCACATTTCTTGAGCAGTTGAAAAAGAGCATAAGTTATTGATCATGTGAGGATCAATACTGTTGAGAATCCGAGTGATGATTTGAGCATCTTTAGTTTCCCACGCATCTAAACCAGTTTTCTCCGTCGGTGCCTTAGAAACACCATCTAAATGACTCCATAATCCCTTTCCTTTAACATACATCTTGAACTGAAATTCCCATGCAGAATAATTCTTGCCGGTAAAACGGACACAAAAATTCTTTTCATTTTCCATTGCCATTAGATATAACCCCTTTGTATTGTTAAATAAACAGGATAAATCCAAATCCAGTGTGCACGTGCAACCAATTTATTTAATAATACCAATTAAATAAATAGTAAAACAATGGGAAGCAAACCAGGAAACCACGCGGTAGCTAAACCAGGAAACCACGCAGTAGCTAACGAACGGTGAAGAAACACCCACGATCTAGAAATCGCAAACAATTCAACAATGAAACCACGATCACCGAACAGAATCACCAAGAACAACGATCACCAAGCGGAATCGCCGAGAATACGAAACGGAATCGCAAAGCACAATATGTTAGCAGCACCAAATGATTAACGATCACCGAAACAACGTGCGATAAACACGGAATCAAGATCACGAAGCAACAACAATGAAGAAATCACGACACGGCAATTGAAAGATTTCAGATTTCGAGAAATACAAACAAGAAACACGATTTCAAGAGCGACCCAGTGGGGTGTCGCTATTCAGCCAAGAGAACAAGGATTCACAGGTTAGATCGAACCCTTCTGATACCATGTCATGAATTCTGGCTTGATGCCTTTCTCATTGCATTTGATACTATATATAATAGTGTCGGTAATTACAACTCATAATGACTAATTACAACTCATAATAACTAATTACAACTTATAATGGCAATTTCCTATTCTATGAATGTAAATTATTCACAATAAATGTGTTTGATTATTTCCTGATTAACATGATGATGTTTACATGGGACACACATAAAATTTCTATGGATCCTATTTTGTACTTTGATAAGAATCCAGTAGGAAATAAGTCTAGTTTGCTGGTGATGACACAGAGTGAAAAGGAGTTTGACGAGGCTGTTAAAGAAACTGATTTTTTATGTCCAATACTAACTAAAGGGGTGATGAGTGTTTTAAAGGAGAAAACAACAATTCCAGAAGAAGTGCTAGGGATCCAAAAGGATTTCACGGAGCTGACCGCAAATGAGCTACCAAACGATTTGCCTCTTATGCGAGACAAATACATGGAAGTTAAAGTTTTCAATGTGGGAGAAGATGTGATTGCATTTCTACGTAAGGAGAGGTTTCTAGTTGGTACTTACAGCAAGCTGCAGCCATATGAAAGTCTTTATCAAGAAGAGAACTCAGGGTCAACTTCTTTTGAAGTGAAGGAGACTGATGTAGGAGGGTTGCCTGCGTATTGAAGGAGAAACCGCGTGTCGGAACGATCCGGCAAAATTCGCACAAGTTTCGCGTCCGATGTCAGAATGACTCACATTATACCTTTTCGAAAAGGGAATCGGCTCAGGAGTTCAACCGACTGCTTTGTAGGGACCTATGAATTTTTAAGCCATTTAAATTCGTCTCAGACAAGAAATCAGCCGTTTACTATTTTGTTTTATTTAGGATTTAATTCTATTTTGGATTTGATTCTATTTAGGATTGATTCTATTTAGGATGGTTGTTTCAGGTGTATGAACTGGTGTTGAGTTATCAGTTGGGTCTATGGGTGAGTCCTCTAGATTGTTAAAGGAGTCCTAAGGAGTCTCATAGACCCAACTGATAACTCAACACCAGTTCATGCACCTGAAACAACCACCAACGTTTTCTCATCTCCCTCTGATGTATCTTTTGATCTTATAATCCCTTTCAATCCTACTTAACTTCCCTCGTTTGACCTTTCCCCACCTCACTCTCCTCATCCCGAACAATTCACTTGAAAGATTTCTCGTTGAACCAAGACACTTCCCATGGTCCACAACCCCTTAGTTGTTTTGATCCTCAAAATGAATCTTGCACCTTCCTAAAAAATTATGCAATTGAACAAGTCCAAAACAGTTTTAGTGCTAATCAGAAGGCTTTTCTCAATCCTCCAAACTATGACAAATCTTCAGCTCGCATGCCTCCTGGCACATCCTCATCCCGTTTGCCTGAACTAGATGCTATTGGTTCACTAGGCTCATCCTTCCTCAAAAATCCAGATTTTGCCACAAAACCTTCCTATCATCCTCGGACTGCAGCCGATAAACCTGAGAGCAACTTCAATATTATCACTCTTCGTGGCCAGCAAGCAGTAGAGCAAACCATTGTTAGTGATGTGCACTATCAGCATGCTATGCTAAAATGGATTGGTCAGCATAACTCTCCAGCTCTCACACCTCCTAATTTTCATGCGTTCCAGTACCCAATACTTCCACTCTCATCTGGAGCAACATCTGATGAAGATGCTCCTTAGACTTTCTGTATTTTGTACCCTCCCACCTTTCTTTTTGATATGACAAAATAAGGGGGAGAAGAACAAAAAGCTTTTAAATGTTTAAAACTTAGTTTCTCAGTGTTAAAAGACTTTGATAGAGGATTAAGAGATTTCTGAAATGCTTGAGTGATTTGCACTCAGCTGATCTATTTATATATACTACTAGAAATAATTGTAATTTACATTTACAATGAGATTAATAATAATGCTATTTCCTAGATGCATGGATGTTATTTCCTAGATGCAAGACTAACTATAAAAGAATCCTTCAAAGTATAAACATGTAATGTCAGTATTACATCATCAACATGATGTCAGCATGACATAAAGATGATACAAGAAACTTGGAATTAGAGGACTTAGCATACAAAGGAATCTAGAGGACTCGTTTCATCAAAAGAAAAATTTCACTATTTACAAGTACAGATGATGTCACATTGTACCATTGATTTTACATAAAGCCTTTTGACACATCAAATCTTGTCTTTACTATGATGGAAGACCGAGGACTCATTTTGATGAAAGAAAGGATATAAACATGTGACATAAATCCAAAGACTCTTCACCATTACTCTTGGCCTATAAATACAAACTACTTCAAGAAAAAGTGTGGAATTACAATTGAGAAAAAGGCTAACAAGATTCATTATCATTCAAAAGCAAAAAGATCATTATCTTTCATACACCAAAATATCCACACTATCAAAGATATACAAACTCAGCCTCTCACTACCATATGGTGAAGTTGTAAAAAATCTTTGAAAGAATTATCTCTACAAATTGTATATCTTCAAGCCATATAAAAAGGTTTGGTTCTCTGTGTAAGCTTACTGAATTTATATTAATCAGTATTGTAAGTCTGGTGAGGCTAAGAAAATACTTAGTTATAAAGGTGCACACAAGAAGAAAATTTGCCAAGCATCAGTAAAGAAAATTTAACAAACTGTGGAGACTGGACTAACCACATTGGTGAACCAGGATAATTCTCATGTGATCTCTCTTAAACTTTACTCTATTTATTTGTTCTATTGCTAATTACATTCCTACACACACAACACTAAACATTATTTAAGATTTACCCTAACATTTCTTCTCCAAGGAAACCTTAGAGAAACTTTATTTATATTAGGCTAAAAAACTAAATTTTTAAAAGGTCACATTTCAACTCCCCTGAGTGACATCTCTATTTACTTCATATCTGACACTGATATGTGTCTGACATTCCATGATCTTCCAAAATTGCTAAAGTAACGTATCCTGAATTTTAAAACTCTCCAGTATCTTCGTATTGTATCAAGCTTCTAGGCTTCATAGATGCTATCTAATGTGAGAGCTAATTATTGATTTTATGAATGTTGTTATCTTGCAAATTTGCTAGTCAAATCACATAGCTGCAAATATTTCACCATCATACCATGCTCTCCCAATGCAAAAATAAATTTATACGGAAATATTCTAACTAGAGCATGGGGTTAATATCAAAGTCTTTTAGATTTTAGCGAGGTTTGATAAACCATTTTGTTTAATCGTAAAATGCTGAGTTGGTTACAATGATAAAGCTCAGTGCTATAAATAGCCTGAGCTTCTAACAAACTATGAGTCTTCGCTGATCAAGCTTTCTAAGCAACCAATAAGTAAGAGACATCTGTCAAAGTACAAGCAGAATAAGTGACAACTGTCACTGTACAAACAGAATGAAAACTAACTAGTTAGAACAGAACAAAGAAAGAATAGAACTATAGGTATTTATATCTCAGACAGACAAAACTATTGTTTCTACTTAAGTTCATACAAACAAAAAATTCAAATGCATACACAGGATGTAGCAAAGGGAAGTTGTTCCTTCCAAAAAGAAGGCCTGGCTAGGAAAGTTTACCTTTGGAAAACTCATAGCGATAGGAACTATAAGAAGAGCAAGAGCCCTAGAGATATTTTTCTTCTTTTCAGAAATAGGAATTCCTTCTGTTCCTTTTTGCATATCACACTGAAGAACAATATAAAATTTGTTCATCTTAATTGGAAATCAAATATAACAGGTAAACCATAAAACCACTCTTGTCCTCTCAATTTTAAATTGTTTTTTGCCAGATGAAGTGACTGGTTTTAGTGAACACTAAATAAAATTAAAAAGAAAAATGTACTACCAAACAAGCATTTAGATATCAAAAAACAAAACTAGAAAGATAATTGAAAAGTTGAAAGTAAAGTTTCTAGAGATGAAGTGCACACCTCTACTATTACTAAGTATGACAGTCCAGTTAAAACTGGTAAAATGTATAAGGCGTCTGGAGTTGTCAGATCAGTAAACCAGAAAGCTCCACCATGTTTGAATGATGGCATTTTTTCAGCCATGTTTGCTATCTGCCATTAAATAAAATATGATAAAATTGTGATGGATGGAAACAATATTAAGGCTCATCAGATCCTACAATTAGGGAGAATATCAAAGCAAAAGTTAGCTTACCGCAAGAAAAAAAGTTATGAAGACAGAACAATTAATAAAGGATCCCGTGAAGTGCAGATATGGATGCACACCTTTTCTGCATCAATGAAGACAGATTAATTAATTAATAAAGGATCCCGTGGAGTACATAAATGGATTCACACCATATCTGCATCAATGAACCCAGCAAGAGAAAACAAAAGATCCATGAAGTTTGATTTACTACTTAAAATAAAGGTTCCTTAGAGCCACAGACCAATTACATCACACATTCTAAAATACTAATCATAATGAATTTTCATACAACTATTGTGGTCACAACTGTAACCAAAAGAAATTGTTAAATATCTAATTCATTTGACTGTTTACAGAAGCACAATTTTAAGTTTAATGAAAACAGCAGAATCAAAATGAAGCAATAATATTAGCGAGACTGAATATTAAAAATAACGATTGAAGTTATGGCCATCACAAGTGACCACAAAGGTTACTCCGATGTATTAGAAACTGTAGTCTGGATTCAAAGATCCATGGTAACTCATTTTTATTGATTGAAATTGGTTACAAAAGTAGTTAAAACACTTATATAGGAGCAAAGTGAGCTGCTGTAGCAAGTGGCTGTATGATGAACTGACGGATGTCAGTCATCATCAGAACAGTTGTCATAACTAACTCTACGAGTTGGTTATGTTAACAACTTCTAAACAATAACAGCCCAGATTTTGTTATAACTAAGTTGATAGTTAGTTATGCAAGGGTTAGGTGATATTCTCAAATACCCCCTTCAAGCTCAAGGAAGCTGAGCAAAATTAGTTGGGGCAGTCACATTGAGCTTGGATTTCAAGTCCAAAAATTTTGAGGAGGATAATGGTTTAATGAGAACATCTGCCCACTGACTGGTCCTAGGAATGTGAACAACATTGAGTTGTTTAGCTAGATCTTTCTCCCTGACAAAGAACAAGGCTATCTCCATATGTTTGGTCCTTGCAAGAAGTATGGGATTATGGGCAAGTATATTGTCACAGAATATGGCAGGAAACTTGCAAGTGACATTGAGTTCAGTCAAAAGCGTATGAACCCAAAGCAGTTCAACAGTGACATGGGTTAGGCTTCTGTACTGGACCTAGCCACAACTTCTCGCTTTTTAGACCACCAAGAAATAAAGTTAGAGGCTAAATGAATGACAGCTCCTGAGATGCTTCTTTTGACATCTGGATCAATGCACAATCAGCATCACAATAAGCTTGCAATGATGGAGTTTGAGTGATAGGTGCAGGATATAGGTCAAGTTTGTGGTCAAGACTCAAGAGTGTCTTTGAGGTATCTTAATATCCTCTTGACCGCAACCTAATGAGACTCAAGAGGATGAGACATAAATTGGCAAACATTGTTGATAGAGAATGAATCTCTTGTCTTGTAATGGTGGCATATCGAAAAACCCCAACAACAAAACAAATCTATACATATAAGGATCATCCAAAGACTTAGGGATCTTACAAAACCGGCTTGTAAAATGAGGAGTGTCACTCTATATAAACTCTTTTCAAGTTGTATGGACTTAGAATCTTCCCAATACACCCTTCACGCCCAACTGTCTTTTTTGGGTTTGGTGCATGGATATTGTTAGATATCGGAATATTCTATATTATGTAAATAGAATATTCTGTAAGTAATTAGGATATCATGTAAATAGGAAATAGAATATTATGTAATTATTATAGAATATTATGTAATTACTATAGCATTTATGCCTCCTATTATATATAATGAGCTTCGATGTGTAATTCAAACACACGGATTCAATCCAACCTTCCTCTTGTTCTCTCATTATTCAACATGGTATCTAGAGCCTAACAAGAGGCACCCCTAATCCGTGCTTTCCCGGTAGATCCACTATCTATCGGCGCCAAATTTTTTTTCAGTAACCGTGCTTCATCTCCGATTTCCGATATTCCTTCTCAGATCTTCCATTTTTTTTTGTCACTTCTCTCACCATTTTTGGAATCCATGGCCACCTTTCCCCCTCCAAGGGCTGAGGCCCCTATTTTCACAAGTTATATCACTACTCCTCTTGCCGTTGACAAATTGGACGGTACTAACTATGATTCTTGGGCTTCCGACGTCAAGTTATGACTCCGGGGACAGGCCTATGAAGATCACCTCACTACGAAGGTTGACTCGGTGGCTGCCACTGATAGTGCTCGTTGGAAGAAAATTGATGCTCAACTCTGCAGTCTCATTAAGTCGACCATTAGTCCATCCTTGAAACAGATCTTTCGTTCTCATGAGACTTGCGAATCTGTTTGGGCACAGGCTAAGATCCTTTATACCAATGATACACAACGCTTATATGGAGTGTGTCAAAATTTGTAGAATATTATTTCCCCTCGTCACCTGGATGATTCTATGGCTGAATACTTGGGCCGTGTTCAAGGTCTTCATGATTTCAATGAATTATTGCCCCAGCTGCTACCACTTATTAGAGTTATATCTTAGAATATGAATAATCAGCACTATAGAATAATTAAGTCCAGCCTTAATTTAATAGAATAAGAAAAGTCTTCCTTAATTGTAGAGCTTGAATGATTCAACTCTTGAATGTTCATCTCCTCTTGTATAAATAGAGCATAATGCTCCTTTCCAATTAAGCAATAACAGAATCTGTTTCTCTCTTTTCTCTTTTAGCTTTTTTCTCTCTTCTCTCTCATATCTCACTCTAATATGGTATCATAGAGCTTCGGTTCTATCCATGGCAGCGATTCCAGTAACTACAGCTCCGGCCACCCCAACATCTATGTCCTTCCAACTCAAAATCACAGAAAAACTTGATGAGAAGAATTTCCTACTTTGGCGCCAACAAGTAGATCCTTTCGTTAACGCGAACAATCTTCAAAACTACCTTTACCTTCGTGACATACCGAATCAATACCTGACTGATGAAGATCGTGCCGCTGCTCGTGAGAACCCTGCGTATCGCACCTGGATTACGCAAGATCAGTGGCTTATGACGTGGCTTCAATCCACGCTTTCACCTTCAATTCTTTCACATGTTCTTGGATGCGTTCATTCCTACGAGCTCTGGGAACGTATTCTTGCGCATTTTCAAAAGCTTACACGTGCGAAAGCAAGACAACTACGAGCGGAACTCAGATCTACAACACTTGAAGACAAATCTGTTGGTGATTATCTGGTTCGCATCAAAGCTCTTGTTGACGCGCTTGCTTCAGTAGGAGATCCAGTTCCAGATCAGCAACACATTGATGTGATTCTTGAAGGTCTTCCTCAAGACTTTGCCTCTGTTATTTCAGTTATTGAAAGCAAGTTTGATTCAGTAGAACTTGAAGAAGTTGAAGCTCTTCTTCTTGCTCATGAGATGAGATACAACAAGTATAAGAAACACTCACAAATGGAGGTGGCTGCCTCAGTGAATCTCACTCAAGCCAATTCTCAACCTGAAACTGATAACTCGAATAACAAGAACAATGAACAAGCTGTGAATTCAACCTTTAATCCAACCTATTCAAGAGGAGGCCGTGCAGCTGGCCGTGGTGGTGGACGCGGCCGTGGGAGAGGTAGGTTCAGCAACATTCAATGTCAAGTTTGCTTCAAATATGGTCATCTTGCTGCTAACTGCTATCATAGGTTCAATCAACAATTTCAACCTAACATACCTGCTGATTTTCAAACAATGAACCTACAAAATTTCTATCCGTATCAACCAATTGGTGGACCTCAGTTTGCTCAGCCCATGGTTAACACTCGGTCACGCCCAAGCTATCAACCAAGACTTGCCCCTCTCCCTGTTCCTCAGTCACATATCACTCCCAATGCTATGATTGCTAACACAACTTCAGTTCCAAGCAGTGCCTGGTTCCCAGACTCAGGAGCTTCTTATCATGTTACCAATGCCTCTCAAAACATACAGCAAACCACACCTTTTGAAGGTCCTGATCAGATCTTCATTGGTAACGGTCAAGGTTTGCACATTCACTCTTCAGGCTCTTCTTATTTTCCTTCTCATTCTAAACCTAACACTCCATTAGCTCTTCATAATTTACTGCTTGTTCCTTCTATTACAAAGAACCTGATAAGTGTCAGCAAATTCTGTCTTGATAATAGAGTTTTCTTTGAGTTTCATGCTGATATGTGCTATGTCAAATCTCAGGCTACCAATGAAATTCTGCTCCAAGGTCGTGTAGGAAGTGATGGCCTGTACCAATTTTCCCATCTTCAGCTTCTTAAGTCTCCTTCAACAAGTCAAGTCTCATGTCTCACCTTAGACTCTAATGCTCATGTTTCAAGATCTGATTCCAGCACTAGTGATAGGGTTTCAGTTTCTAATCAAAATGTATCAGCTAATAACTCATATAATTCTCAACATACTTGGCATTTACGCCTTGGTCATCCAAATTCTAATACTATGAGACTTGTTTTAGCTCAATGTAATATTCCTTATTCTAATAAAGCTGAATCTATCTTTTGTTCTGCCTGCTGTATGGGAAAGGCACATAGGCTGCACTCCCCTCAGTCACAAACTCAATATCACTCTCCTCTTGAATTAATTTTCAGTGACCTATGGGGTCCTGCCCCAGTCAAATCCTCCCAAAACTTTACCTACTACATCACCTTTGTTGATGCATACACCAGATTTACTTGGATCTATTTGCTCAAAAATAAATCTGAAGCCTTAACTATCTTTAAACAATTCAAAGTCATGGCTGAATTACAATTTGGATTTCCTATTAAATCTGTCCAAACTGATTGGGGTGGTGAATTTCGCCCATTTACAAAGTTTCTTTCTGATCTTGGCATTATTCATCGCCTAGTTTGCCCTCACACTCATCACCAAAATGGTGTAGTGGAGAGGAAGCATAGACACGTTGTTGATCTTGGTTTAACCCTCTTGAGTCATGCCTCTTTACCTCTCAAATTTTGGGACCATGCCTTTTTAACCGCTGTCTACCTAATAAATAGGTTACCAACCATGTCTCTCAATCAACATATACCATATGCTGTCCTTTTCAATCAAAATCCTGACTATAAATTCCTTAAAGTCTTTGGGTGTGCTTGTTTTCCTCTCCTTCGCCCATACAACTC